AGCCGCCGCCGCCCAGCGGCCCCGCGCCGAGCGCCCCGCAGGTGCCCACGGCCAGGGTGCTCGCGGGCGAGGCACGGGGGACCGGGGCTGCCGCTGGCCGACGGAGCCCGGCACCGGAGCCGCCGCTCAACTCTCCTTTCCCGCCCCGCACGCTCGGCACCCGTCCGGGCCACTAGCCGCCCCAGAAGCCGGGGATTCCGCCGGCAGCGCAGCGTTTTATGTGAATGAGTGCGGCCTGTGACGTGGCTGCCCATATAAGGCCAAGTAGGGGTGTTTCCCCGCCCCTTCGGGCCGTGGTCACGCCCCGGGGCGGGGCGAGGGCGAGAGGCGGCCGGCGAACGCCGAGCGTTAGTCAGCTGGAGGAGGAGGAAGTGGCAGGCGCCTGGCTGTTCTCTCCGTGGCGTTGCGCGGAGGGACTCACTCACGCATCACCCGGGTCTGCGGTGGGGGGTCAGGGACGCCACCAGGCCGAGGTGGCCCACGCTGTGCGGGAAGAGGAGGAAGCCGAGGAGGAGGCGGGGCCGGCGCCTCACCATCGGGCTTTCCGTGTCACAGACGTAGTTTGGGAACCTGCTGGGGGCGGGGCCGAGCGCTGCCCTAAGCCGGGCAGGGGGAGGCGGCCGGTGCCTGCGGTGGATCCGGAACGTACTCCCGTCGTTGTTACCGAAGTCTTTCCGCGTGGTATCTGCGTTTTGCTCAGCGGGTGGGGACAGATGACCCGAGACTGGGCTTGTGTTGGTAATGGTTGAAGCTGGGTGATGAGTACCTGGGGGCTCAGTGTACAGTTTTCTCCATTTTTCTGTATGTTCGAAATTTTCCATAATAAAAGTTCCTAAAAGTAGACACGGGGGTAGAAGAGCCAAATGAATCCTGCCCTCGAAGGATTGACAGCCCTTTTCTCTGTCACTCTCCAATAGTAAGAATCATACGTTGTTTTTTGAGGAGCCATTTCCTGGTCCTTGGGACACCTGTCATGAACTCAGCAGCAGCACCAACATGCATGCTGTGATGGAGCTCGGTCCAGCCAACTGCTGTCCAGGTGGCTTCTGGATTTGGAGGATTATCTGTGGATCAACTATAATCCCAGGCTGTCTGCCTCCACCAGTCCCCAGGAGCTTCAGGCTTCCTACCCCCATTCCTGGGGAACTGGACACGGTTCACCCACTCAGCAAGCATTTTTTGAGGGTCAGCTTTGTGTCAGGGCTCTGCCAGCTGCAGGAACATATGGGATGAAAACATGTCTCTGTCCCCAGCCCCGCCAGCCATTTTACTTTTAGCCTGGGTGGGGCTGTTTGATAGAAAATAGCCTGCCTCTGCTAGAGAGGGGCTCGTTTACAACTAACATAAGGGAATAAGGTTTTTAGAAGAAAGCAGAAATCAAATTCTGAAACCAAATGCAATCACACTGGAAACCAGGGTGGTGGGCATTGCCTCTGGGTCACAACTGCATTCAGTCAAAGGTGCCGGCTT